TGTTTGCTTGTTTTTCTCCCCTTCCCCCATAATTGTTAAGTGTGCAGTTGGAAAGTTGCACAAAGAACACATGGAAACCAACTGCCCGAATTTGAATGCAGGCTCCCTTGACATTGGGCAAGTTACTACTTCCTCCAGCTTCTTTATCTGTAAATCAAGAGCGATGGTAATAAAACCAGAGATAGTTGTGGTGAGGATTAAGTGCACACTTAGTACAGTTGCTGAAGAAATGTTTACTATTGTTAAAATTAGTTTTTAATTTCCTTCCACTAGAATAAGCTCTGTGAGGACAGTAACTGAATGACTGTCTCCATAAACATAGTACACGTGAGACTCTGCAATGGCAAAATAATTGACTGACTGAATGAAGGATTCTTCTTATTAAAATTCCATTTTGCTGAATACAATGTAAAAGATACGTTTTATTCTCTTTGGCGATGTAACTACAAATGTGATTTTATTGTGCATCAAAGAAAAAAGAGGAACTAAATTTTTAATGGCTACTAAGTGTAGTGCATTTATTGTTTAATTTATTCAACCCATAGAACAACTCCCAAGGCAGGTATAAGTATCCATATTTTATGGGGGAGAAAACCGAGCCTTAAGGAAGTTGAATAAGCGCTCCGTGATCACAGCCTGCAGGTGGGAGATCAGGACCTATGCACCAGCATGTTTTTAAAACCTTTGGTCTTCTACTCTGCCCCTTCTGGGGGTAGAAATAGCAGTTCCAGGAATTGTTGCTTGGACTTCCCAAATTTCCAGTCAATGGGGAAAAGGCCTAAAAAAGGGGCCATTTGATACATGTGCTGGAATTTTCTTTAGGAATTGTCTGCTTGCCAGTACTGTAGCAGGTCTTTCCCGGTCCTTTTATCTGTTGTTTGAAGAGTAGTATTCCCCACTTCCTCTTGTAGGCAGGTACAGCAGAACCTCTGTTGCCTGGTTGTAGGCATTGTTTCAGGTTTTTATTTTTAAAATAAAAATAACTTGCATGTAAGTATATTGCTACAGTGTACAAATCACTTGTCTGGGATCAGTGTACCTGAACCAGAAAGAGTTAGTGCTGGGGCCAGCCCTGAAAACCCTGGAGGGCAGTTCTTCGCCGGGCTCTTGGATTACTGAGTTGGAATTGACTTGATGGCAACAGGTTTTATGTTGTTTTTCTAAATTATACCTCTTCTAAGGTCCCTGGGTGATGCAAATGGTTTCCGCTCTACTACAAACCTAAAGGTTGGTAGTTTGGACCCACTTGGTATCTTGCAAGAAAGACCCGATAATCTGCTTCAAGTCACAGTTGCAGCCAAGAAAACTCTTATGAAGCAGCTCTCTGCTGTCATACCCGGGGTCACCATGAAGCGAAATGGATTCGATGGCAATGGGTTTGGCTTGGTTCGATGTGCCTAGCGTTTGTTCATTACTCTTTATTAGTGAATCATAATATTCAGCATAATGTTTTTTCTCTTTTAGTGGCAGAATGAGAAATTTGGAAAAGAACACATTTACAAAAGAAGCTTTAGCTTTGGGATGGCGGTTTTTTTTGCCTCCTTACACCTTCCAAATCCGGGTTGGTGCCCTGTATCTTCTGTATGGATTATACAACACCCAACTGTGCCAACCAAAACAGAAGGTAATGCTTGGTGAGTTGTTGCACCGGAGCAGAAATGTGAAATATGTATAATATTTTTATAACAAGTGAACTGTAAAAGAAATGCCAGTGTTTTAATATTCTAATGCTTTTATTAAAAATGTGGGAGAAAAACTGGGCTTTCTACTCCCGTAAATAGTTACAGTTTCAGAAACTCAGGAGGCAGTTCTACCCTGTCCCATAGGGCTGCTATGATTCGGCTTCGACTTGATGGCAATGAGTTTGTTTCTGGTCTTACAGTTGGTTAAAAATTGCTTTGGTATAACTTTTAACTCTTCCTTGCAGATTAGAGTGGCCCTGAAGGATTGGGATGAAGTTTTGAAATTTCAGCAAGATTTGATAAATGCACAGCATTTTGATGCCGCTTACATTTTTCGGAAGCTACGATTAGACAAAGCATTTTACTTTACTGCAATGCCCAAATTGGTACGTGACCTAAAAGAAGAAATCATGCCTAGTTATAAGATATCTCAATCGCTAGAAAATAGAAATACATTATAGTATACTTGTAGAACCCTTTGTTAAAATGGAAATATTTTATTTCTTAGAGAAGATGTTTCTTAAGTTGTCATCTTTATTTTTTTTAATCACTTTATTCGGTCATAATCCAGACATACAATGCAATACTTCAGTCTTATGAAAAAGTGTTGTACAATCGTGACTACCATCCATTTTAGACAATTTCTTCCTTGTACTGTACACCTTGTTATTCACTCTCCACCCCTTCATCTCCTCTGACATATCCCCCTGGAAAACCATTAATGTATTTACGGGTTTCATATACCAAGAAACAGAAATACATAACTGAGTCAAGAAGCTACTAACAATAATAGACTACAACAGAAATAAACCCCAGGTGGAAAGAAAGCAGAAAATATTAAAAACCAGAAGAAATTTAAAATGTGTTAAAGGGGAGAACAAATGATAAGATTTTAACTATTCAAGTAAGATTTTTTCATGTAATCTACTGTAATCATCTCTGTAATACTCTGTCTGATAATCAGCCTATTCCCATCCCTTGATTATGGTCAGAGGGAAATTACCAGGTGCTTATTCTATTTGTAGATCTTGCAAATGTATTTTGGGCTTCCACTGTCATCTAAACTTTCTGCAAACCTGAATTTCATAGCTTAAGCTCTTGATCCATCCTCTCTTTGAGATTTGTATTATATTTTTTGCAATCCTTGGATCACGCGGGCAGGTGTGTTTCTTCCATGAGGGCCTGAGACCCCAGATGCTATTCTCTCTGATAGTTGGACACCATCTAGTTTCTTCACCATACTTTGCTGTAGCACCCATATCTTCCATGTGTCCTTCATGAGGGCAGGTATAGAGCAGGGACATGTCTTAAAAACGAGTTGTTCTTAGATTGGAATTAGGATTAAGTGCAAGCCCAAAATCCATTCCTATATCTATGTTTTATATATGCCTCTCATTTACCTTAGAGAAGTTGTCTTCTTTCTGAAGATGTTTTCTGGAAAATTCAGCTTGTGCTCTGGATGCCATATTTTCAGTAGACTGTTTTGAGGAAATTAGGTTCAGCATCTGCTAATGCCTTTATTCAAGCATCAGAAATGGTAACTGATAAAAGAGGAACAGGGAATGCCTTGGTAGTTGATGAAAAGTTGAAACTCAATAAAAAAGTGACAATTCCTTTAATCTTGTGACAATTGATGCAATCTGGTATAGTTGTGAGGACACAAAATGGGGTCAGGGGCCCCTAAGTTCCAGCTCTGGCTCTGCTGCCTATAGACAAGAAGGTCAGACTCTCATCTTCATTTGGAAGAACGAGGCTTGTCATCCCAGGGATATTTCAGAAGTCTAATAAATAGCCTTTGAGAAAGGACCATATAACAACTATTTGGTTAGAATTGCTTTTGTTTCATTAATGTGTACAGATAGACTGTTTTTCGGCTGACTTTCAGCACTTTTTAAAACTTTACTTTAAAGGTCATCCATTTTAAAAAATGTTCATTATTACATAGCTGTCATATAGAATGAAGAAAAAAATTCAGCGAGCTGAAGTTACAGAAGAATTTAAGGATCCAGATGATCGTGTAATGAAACTTATCACTTCTGACGTACTAGAGGTAAATTTGTTTTTATCCTCCTGAACTTTAAAAAAAAAAGTGTTTTATTGCCAACTATATATTGAGGTTATACCTTCGACTTGTTAGAATGTCAATGCTTTCTCTAAAGTATCAGAAATAATCTACCTTAAGTATATCATGAAAGCTTTCAGTGCAATGAGAACTAGAAAAATGTAGAAGGCTGCATCTAGAGCCAGGATATATGGACTCAGGTGATGAAGTCACCATTTAATATCTGGCAGTAGGTTAATCACAAATTAAGAGGTTAAGGTGACTTGGCTTGTGAGCAAGTGTTCTTAATCTGGTGTCCATGAAAGGCCTTCAGATGCGCACCCTGAGACTGTGTGAAAACATTGAGCGTCGCACACAGGGCACTTCGTTAAGGTGAGGTGGCGCAACCATCCTCAGTTGCTCTGGGATGTATTAACACTGCCAGGAAGGATCAGCGCTCCTGCAGTCGAAGGAAACCAGTGTTACCCAGTGGTGCAAGACAGAGTAGTGCAGGCCCTCTGCAAGAGGGTTTGGGTGGATTATCTTACTCTACACAATATTCTAAGAAAGTAGATGTTTCTAATATATTCTTTTGGGTTTTTTCTTCAGTAAGTGGTTATATCCTTGAGTGAGGAAACTTGTGGGGTGAGGAGAGTCCCTAACAAATCATCACAGGTCCCGTAGGTGCAATTGTACAGCGATATTAAGTAAAGATTATAGTAAAGTCTTAGAGAGCATGAGAGATAGAGGAGAGAGACAAATAATGGAGTCAGACACAATTCATGGTAGCATGCTCACCTCAGCCCCGCTTGGTGGTCCTTGGGGGAGCCCGGCCACGAGAGCAGGAGAGAGCCTCCAGAGCGAGAGCAGGAGAGCCCCAACTATATTGCTAACCCAAGGTTATATCTCATAAGGGGGACATGATTACAGGTAACCACACGTCACAGGAAGGGGCAGTACAATAGGCATACACATTGTAGGAAGGGGATGTATGATAGGCATAAGCGTGACAGGAAGGGGATGAGCAAGGGGTGTGCCCATAGGAATGGGAAGGTCTAGGGGTACACATGTGACAAGATGGGCGGACCCTAGATTCATGATGGCTACCTAACCTTGGTCATCCGTGGGCGGGTTTGACCTCTCTGGCATCTCCTACAAGGAAACAGACAACTACTATCCTTATCAGAAGGGAGTGGGCCCTACTTGTTGTGGGATAAACAGTGGTGTCTGCTTGGTCTAGATGGCTGATAGCTCTTAGGGAGAATGACCCCTAATCCACTCCTGATGACCTCCAAGTGTGTAGTCATTCCCAAGCAGCTAATTTTGGCATATATTTGGGGGAGACAACTTGGGAGAAATCCTTCTGTTTCCCACAGAAGCTGAGGTGGAGAGATGCTAAGTTAGAAAGCAGTAGAGCCAGAGCTCATACGCTCTTTTTTCTGTCTGCATTGCCTGATTGTGTGCTTTAGTTTGAAATTCAATTAGTCTATCCCTCTGGAAATAAGCCTTTTCAGTAACAAAGTTGCACTATGTTGACTCCATGATCACATTATTCTCAGTTTATCATGGAACCTCTGAGACTCAGAAAACCATGGGACTGACTTGGTTTTCTGAATTTCCCAAACTTTCTCCCTTTGACAGGGTGTAGCCTTACCACTTTTCTATCATTTGTTTTAGGGGGAAATATTGGAGTTTCCCTTCTGTGTTAGACTGGGTTCACTAGAGAAACAAATTCAGGGACACTCATATGTATAAGAAAGAGCTTTCTATTAAAAAGTAATTGTATATTAAGAAAACATCCCAGTCCATCCCAGATCAAGTCCATAAGTCTGATATTAGCCCATAAGTCTGATACTAGTCCATAAATCCATCTTCAAACTCACACAGCCACATGCAATGATGCAAACTGCAGGAAGATCACAGGGCACCCGGTGCAAAGTCTTGTAGATTCAGTGGTGGTGGACACATCGCCAGGGCTCTGGCTATCATAAGCATGGCTTGAAGTGGCAGGTCAACAGGAAGGTGATGCAGAGAGAGAGTGGGGCTGGCCTCCAGTGAGCCATGTATCTCAGTAGCCTACCAATCAAGCTGCGATCTGATTGACAGGCCAAACTCCCCCAACATGTTCCAATGGGAGCCACGTTGGCACAAAAAACCTAACTATCCCACCTTCTCTGATAAGTTTCCTTCTTACACGGCTCCTGGCTTTCATGGGCTTTACTTCACGTAGATATTACTTCCTGTCAAGTCACGGTTACTTTGGAAGATTATTTTGTTTTCTGTTGGTCTGGCCTTTAAGCATCTCCTCAGAAAATGAAATAAAAGACCCCTCTCTTCACTTTTAGGAAATGCTGAATGTGCATGATCATTATCAGAACATGAAAAACATCATTTCAGCTGATAAATCCAATCCTGACAAAGCCCTCAGCTTGATCAAAGATGATTTTTTTGACAACATTAAGAACATAGTTCTGGAGCATCAACAGTGGCACAGAGACAGAAAGGTATGTGGTTGCAGTTTGATTGCTCACCTCTGCGTTATACCGGAGGGGTAGGCCTGGGTGACTGCATTCTTGCAGAGCTAAATGCAGCTTGCCTCTTGTTAGCTTTGCAACCTTAAGAATGGGTTCTATGTTTATATAAGCGTGTGGGTATGTGTATAATTTTTCAGAGAAGTAAGTAATCTTATACTACATATGTTTCTACAATCTTTATAATTTGGCATTTTCCATAGGTTGTTTTTGGGCCAAATCCTACACAAAGATGTGCTTTGTTTGAACTCCAGAATGTTGATGCTAGCATTGTTTTAAAGATTAGGATTAATTAGCGATGTTTAACTGTTAAGGGACTTGAGATACAATTTGATATCCAATGTTCTTACAAGCAGAAGGCCCTATTGCCACAGGGCACATCCTGCTAGTGTATGGCCTCCAGTGGGCGTGGCTCCCATTAACATTAACATCCCTGAAGCATTGGAGTCTGCAGCTCTAGACACACCAGAAGGCTCAGAAAATGAACTTTTTACATCTCCTCAGCACAGAGTTGCCAGTATCCCCAGCAGCCTTGCAGCTAGAGAAAAACCCCTCCTACTCTGGAAACCCAGAGGTCTGCCTGCTCAGTTTGCCTTTAAAACCACAGGTACACTACCTCTTATGTAGTAAATACTTCTAGGAAAAAAAGGAAATTAAAAAATAATTTGTCTGATAATATGTCAATGTTTTTACAACTGCTAGATGGATATTATCTTATGTCTTTCAGAATTCTTATGGCCAAATTCCGGCTTCTTATTATATAGGAAGCAGTCTCAAGACTTTACAAAAGATAAATAATGGAAGTGATAAGCAGATGGCTATGGTTTGGGGAAGAAGGACTAATTGGCTTCCTCTGCCCACATTTATTTTAATGGGAGAGAGCAAGTGTGAGGGTGTTTGATAGCTCTGTTACTGTTTCAGGGGCCTTAGGATCTGCTTGGACTCATAGCAAGCCCGTGCACAGCAGAAAGAAATACTGCGGTGCTGCCCCGCCGCACAATTGTTGCCATACTTGAGCTACCTGGGGCAGCCACTGGGTCAGTTCTCTTTTTAACTGGCCGCTCTTTTACCAAGCGTGGTGTCCTTTCCCAGGAGCTGGTCCCTTCTCATAACATGTCCCATGGCTGTGAAATGAAGTCTCACCGTCCTTGCCTAATGGGCATTCTGGCCACACATCTTTCAAGACAGATGTGTCTGTTCTTTTAGCAGTCATGGTGTATTCACTGTTCTTTTGCCATCGCCATCATTGAAACGCCTCCATTCTTCTTCTGTCTTCCTTATTCATCGTCCGGCTTTGGCATCCACGTAGAAATGACTGAAAAATACCGAGGCTCGCAGTCTTGTGAGTGACTTCTTAGCTTCTGGACACTTGAACGAGGTTCCTTCCCGCAGCCATCTTCATGCTTGAGCTGCTGTTTGTGGTCTTGATTGTGGTTCAAAGTGAAATGAAATCCTTGACAACTTCAATCTTTCCTCCCTTTTTCACGATGCTGTCTATTGATCCAATGTGAGGACATTTACTTTCGTTACAGTGAGGTATAATCTGTACTGAAGGTTGTAGCCTTTCAATGGCCATAGTAAATATGCCTTGGTCTGGCTTTCAGGCAACAAGGTTGTCTCGTCTGCATGTCACATGTGGTTAGTGAGTCTTCCTTCAACACTGTCATACGGATTGAATAAGGGTGGTGAAAGGTTACAACCCGGATGCACACCTCTTCTTACTTTAAGCCACTGTCTCACTTTGTTCTATTCAAGAAACTGACTCTTGATGTAGGTTCAGGTTCTACATGAACACAATTTGTTGTTGTCAGGTGCCAAAGTATGTAAGACAAATTCTCGCCATCTTAGTTTTATGGAATTCCCGTTTTTTTGCAACATTATCCATAATTTGTTATGATCCACAGAATCCCATGACTCTGAGTAGTAAATAAAATGCTACTGGTTAACATCTATCTGCTTTTGAACAAGTTCCATTTGATATCAGCAATGATGTCCCTTGTTCTATGTCATCTTTGAATCTGTCTTGAATTTCTGGAAGTTCCTTGATAATATAATGTTATAAGGTAAACATTTTACTTTGTTTTCTTAAGATGCCCTTTGAAATTTTCTGTTCAGCTCTGTCACATCACCATTTCTTCTAATCACGTTAATGTTTCTACATTCTAGAGCAATTTTCAGAGTTTCTTTGGACACCCGTTTTGGTATTTTCTTTCTTTTCTGTGGCTTTATACTCCACGTGTGCAATACCTTTGATAGTATCTCACAGCTTGTCTGGTCTTTGGTCATTGATGTTCAGCAAATCAAATCTATTGAAACAGTACTAAGTTCAGATATGATAGACTCAGTGTTACACCAGGGCTCTCTCCACTTGTATTAATTGTCAACATCCTCTAGCATATGAGCAGTTGAGGCCTGTTCCAGTTTGTCTCTGACTAAAAATTGGGGCACACAAGTGACTAGGCGTTAACATTTGTGATGGTATTTTCTTAAAAATTAAATTTTCTCCAATGAGCATTACTAAGACCAGTATTACTTCTGAAAAGGTAAAGGAAAGGCAAATAAAAGGATTTTCTTACAACCACATAAACTTCAGTGATTTTTCATTAGTTAGGAGGATTTAGGTATTTTATTCAGAACTCTTCTGAAACTGGTGTTAATGTTAGTGGTGAAATGATCTCTTTGAATAATTAAAAGAGATTCTCACTGTTGTAAAATTGTTTCGCAGTTAACGCTTAGTTCGTTTGAGTGGTATAAATATGTGTCAGTATGTGTATGTACCAGAAGGCTGCAAAACGTTCATGGAAGAATTCAATGAAAAGATAATGGATTTTTCCCATGACCATATGGAAGCCTTCTTGTGTGTATATATATATGTGGGTTTTATTTTCTCCTTCAGAATCCATCCTTAAAATCCAAAATTCAAGATGGAGAAGAAAAGAGAGAGAGAGACCACGGTTCACAAGAATCAGAGGTCAGAACAAGTCACTGTGGGATTGCTTACAGGACATCAGGTTCACTTCTCTTCGTGTTATGAAGATCTGTAATTCTGTATACGAAATGTTATGGCCCTCGTTAGCGCTACAATAAGGATACCGGAAAACTCAAACACTTGGGTTCCTTGAAGAGACAGACGATTCTTTATTTGAAACCTGGTGAAAGACCCCCTCGGGTATAGGTTGGGGGTTAAGTGTCGAGAGACTTCTGCGGGGAGTAGGGACAATGGTGGAAGGTGTCCTGAGCGCTTCCAGGGGCAAAGTAAGACTTTAGTAATGTTTTCTTGTCAGCTTTTTAGACAGTATCTCAAACTACTTTTACTACTTCCTGCCCTCCTCCCACCCGCCAGTGTTTAATTCATCTTAGTGGGTGAGACGAGCCACCTTCAGACGCAGACAGATAGGGAGGGGGTGACAAGTCCCCGTTGACTACCCAGACTTCCATTCCCAGGACCCACCTAGAAGCTGAGTGCAAGCACCCCAGCCATGGGGCTAGTCTCCCGCACTCCAGCAGCTCGGGTGGGGTGGGACTTTGTCTCTACTGAGTTTGTGTCTGAGAAATATTAGTTTCTTTTAGCCTACATTTTATCTCAAAGCTTTTTTGTGTGAACAAATATTGGCTATTTACTCTTTCCCCCAGTGCGTGCGTGTTTTAACTTTGTTTCTTTCCTCTTTATTTTCCTTCCAGAGATATGACAGGGCAGCCTCATTAGCAAAAATAAAGTCAAAGGCCTTTGCAGTTGTTGCTCAGGTAAGTTATTTTCCTAATAAGGAAATGTAGAAATTGATGAGTTACATTGAAAAATTTTTATTTTTCATCACACAGCACATATATGTGGTTTAAAAAGTCAAAAAACATTTCAATAGTCTCCCACCTCATCTTTGCCTAACAGTGTATTTGCCAGATTTGGGGGGATGTGTGTGTGGCTTTTGGCTTTTTCTATTGGTTTTACCTGGCATTTTGGTGCCATTATTCTCTATTTTCTTTCGGCTTCTGGTCCTCCTGCCCCTGAGGTCTCTTTGTGTTTTCCTTATCCCTGGACTGCTGACATTCCATGGTACTGTAACTTGATAGAGGCCCTCTTTCTGTCCGCTGGGCACTCAGAACAGGCATCCATTCAATCTGATAAGCCTCCAGTTCTGAGAGAGACTTTGTATGATTTCTTTGAAAATACTTCTTATTGTATTTCTGTGCTGCTTCCATGGGTTTCTGTTCTCTATTTAGTGATTTCATTTTGGTGGGGTTTCAGGGGGAAGCATGAATTTTTATCATAAATCTAAGAATTACTTAAGTGGGAAATTACTTATTTTTTGGCTGTAAAATTTGAAAATTAGAAGTGACTGTAGATTAGTTACATTATTGATTTGCTGTAGCGGAGTGAGTGGTGTGAAACAATTGTTTTGTGAAAGCACCAAGGACCATAAACTAATTATTCCAAGTTCTTCTTAACCAGAACCCTTTTGCCATATTGAAGTGTGGTCATTGATATTTAATGCATGCAATGTTATAAAACATGGTGAAATAATTTTTTAAATCATTAAACAATTATGTTCCCCATAAATTGTCATATTTAAGTGTATGTCATCATATGATAGGGGTTTTTTTCCCGCTTTCTTGGGGAACAAATGACATAATACTGTGGTAATTTTAAAAGATTTGTTGCTATCTATAAGAAGCCCTGGTGGCACAGTGGTTAAAACTCTTGGTTGTTAATTAAAAGGTCTGTGGTTCAAGCCTACCAGCCACTCCATGGGAAAAAGATGCTCAGTTCTGGCCCTCAGCCTCTCAGCTACCTGGTCCCTTAGCTTCTGTCTCTGTGGGCCAAGAATCCTGCCTGTTGCTTTGTCTCATAGCACCATTGTCTCAGCGCTGTGTCTCTGTCCTGTCCTTGCCTCGGCCTCTGGTCTGAACTTGGCTACCATTGTTTCCATACTGTAACCTGTAGCATCTCTGATCTCTGCCTCCACCACTTCAAACAGAGCTCTTGAACGTGCTCCACTGGTGGCTTTCCTTCTGATGCTCCTGGGGTCGCTCTCTACTTCCAAGGTGGGACTTAGACACAGAGGAATGGCTTTAATAGGAGTGTGAGTCTTCTCTTTAGAAAAGTCCATCCCAAACAGGATTATAGCCACAGGCAGAGGCTCTAAAGGTTTATAGCTAGAAGGGGCCTTATTATAGATCTCAATGACATTAACCTAAAACTACCTTGTTTGTTCGGATTCTTTGACTGACACAAATAAAGAAATACATTGATGGATTTAACAAAAATGTCCTTGGGTAGCTGACCTCAGAGGCTGAGATCTTGGGACTCTCCTTTCCTCTTTCACCTTCTGTGTTGATTTCGCCGCCTTCATGTGCTGTTTGTGACAGCTCCAGCCTGGCCGGGGCCCAGCTCATGGGAAAGAAGAGTGTTTCCTTAAACAGACTTTAAAAATTGAGTTGCACTGGCTATGTCAGATCATTCACTTACCCCTGCATGTGAGAAATCTCAATGACACATTGTGCCACAGGGCCGGCCACAACTGGAGCTTAGGGTGAGTAGTTCCACTGAAACACGTTCGTGCCTAACGAGAAGAAAGTCCTGCTGTTAGACGAAAGGGGGTTAGATTTGTAGGCGGAAGGAAGAGTCCTCGCTGTCTGAGCCGTCAGTCTCCAGCCACACCTGGTCACGGACAGCCACATTTCACCACGTCTGAGTAGACAGTGATGGCAACCGCAGGGGACCTTCCATGGTATCACGGTGAAGGATGGACATTGTACATGGGGCGAGTGATTACATTAAGCAAGTCATGTGGTGGTAGACGACTTTATGACAAAGGTTCTGTAAATCTCTCCTTGTTTGATTATGTATTTGTCTTTCTGTAATTGCTACTTACATTTTTATTAGTTTAGTTGACCGTTGCCTTTGCTTTCTGGTTCCTGGGTTTCCCTGGATTTCCTCCTCTTCAGGCATCCAAGTCCAGACGGCATCGTCAAGTCAGACTTGATTCTTCTGACTCGGATTCTGCAGCTGGTCCGGGACCGCTCACAGCCACTAAGGGAAAGAGGAGCAAAGAAGCACCGAAATCGGCAGGAAAGAAGATGTCCTCCAGAAACAAAGGTAGCTCTCGCGCCAAAACCTGCCGGGGCCTCCGTCCGGAGAGTGGGTTTCGATCACCCCTCGTCTTTGCTTTCCTTTTGTCCAACAGCTGGGTGCTGCCTTACGGACAGCCTCGTGAGAATTACTATGACAAACAAAACAAACCTCTCAGAGTTTTGAATCTGACTGCTGACAGGACCCTACGAGCCCTATGCGATTCATCATTTCATAGTTGATGAAATCAAGGGCAATGCAGGTTAAATGCTTTGTTCATAGTGATGAAGATAGTCCTAGATTTAGTCTAGAATTATCCAGTCGCACATCATTGTCCTTTTTGCGTGTGAATCAAACATGTAGAGGAAGCTATGATAAGTAGTAGGCACTTCATAACCAGTATTTCCCATTAGTTGTACTTAGTCAACTGAAAATGCTTTCTTTTCAAATAATATAGCTGTAAAATTACCTTTGGCATTACTTCCTAAACAAATGACTGTATTTTAATACTAAATAAATTTTAACCTTTTTAAAATGACTCTTTCCCCACCTATATTGGGGCAGTGATGAAAGAAGTGAAGCTAAGTTCCTTTAAGGTATATTGGTTAATCCGGATACTGATAAAATGCCTTAACAGTTGCTTGAAGTGTACAGAGGATTCAGAGGAAGCAGCACATTTTGTTAGGAGTTGTCAGTAAATGATTTCAAAGGGAACTCTTCCATTCTTTTTGCAAAGCTAGCGCGACTGTTCAAAGAAATCATTTGACCAATCTCACTTGCTGAAATTGGTCCAAAATCCTGAAAAAATCCTGATATATGTATCAAGAAAACCCAGTGTTTAAAAGAAACAAACATGTGCACCAAAAAAAAAAAAAGAAAAAGAAAACCCAGTGCAGAACACCGTGGCTAGGTTTATCTAGGATGATAGAATGGTACAAATATAGGGCTGTTCATAGAATTTACCATATAAGTAGGTTAGAGGGGATATTTGATAACAATTCAGCACTTCTTTCACTCACCATATTAATTACTTAATGCCTTTATTTAAAATATTATTTCATAAAGTATGAAATTTAACTTAAGGATAGGAATTGTTGTATACATTTTATGAAAGCTAATGGCAGGTATTATATAACCTATGAGACCTCTTATTGACTTTAGGGTATATAATAAAATGTAATCTGAGTTTAGATCTATGGTCGTAGCCTCACTTTTCTAGTTTATCCGTGTTGTTGCTTATAAGTTTTATAAATAGTCTGAAAAGGCCCATTTGTTTTCTTGCACCTGAGTGAGGATCCAAGTCTCTTTAGTCAAAAGTTCATTTCCTTACAATGCAATGGTATTTTTGATTTCATAGGATTTCGAAAAAGAGTAGCCTTATATTCCATAAAAGGCAAAAGATGTTGCAGAGCCGTTTTTAGCACATATGATAATGTTAAAGTGGCTAATTTTAAGAAACCCAAATCTACTGTTTTAAATAAATTCTGACTCAGACTCTATAGGATAGAGTATAGCTGCTTCATAAGGTTTCCAATACTACAAATTTTTATAGAAGCCAACTGCTTCACCTTTCTCCCTCAAAGTAGCCAGGGCTTTCAATTGCTGAGCTTTTGATTAGCAGTCCACTGCTTAACCCATACTTTACTAAGAAAAGGCCATCAGGAGAAAGATGGGCTTAGGACACGAATAAGCAGTTGAGAAGTAAAATGTAAACATCCAATGTGACTGCAAGACCTCGCTGCGGTGGAGTCAGTGCTGATTCATAGTGACCCGCTGTGAGTTTATGAGAATGTAACTGTGTTTATGGGAGTAGAGAAAGCCCAGTCTTTGTCCTACAGAGCTGCTGATGGTTTTGAACTGCCAACCATTCAGCTCTCATCCCACTGTAACCACTAAGCCACCAGGGCTCCTCAACGTGACTATGAAAGTCTGTTTAATGAATAATTAAAAAGTGCTTTGGATAATCATTCATTGGTTTGGCAAAAATTAAAGATATTGATTAGGTATTGGTATTTTAAGTGTGAGGAAATAAAATCTGATTTTAAGTGGGAGTGTAAATTGGCACATTTTTTTCAGTGAGCAATTTGTGGCCATCTGTCAAAAATTTAAATGTGTAAAACTTTTATCAATTGATTTTTTACAATTTAGGCTTTCTTCTTTAAAAAAAGTAACCATTTTACGGCCATATAATTCACCTATCATACAAATCAATGTTTTAAACATATTAAAGAGTTGTGCATAACCAGTTGAATTTTTTAATGGTTTATCCTTTAGTAGTGATAAATACATAAGAACATTCATTGCAGGATTATCTGAAATGGCAAGATACTGTAAGCAGCTCAAATGTACGACATGGAAAGATTGGATGAATAGAATTATTGTCAGTTCATACAACAGAATGCGTAGCAATTACTGAATAATATGAGGAAGCTCCACATACACGGATTGGTGGAAGATGTGTTCAGTGTGCTGATACAATGTTTAGTGAGAGAGGCTTTATATTTTTTTAACATGATCCCGTTTCTGTTTCTAAAAATATGGGTATGTGAAAACTCACTATATATAAGAGAAAAATCTCTAGTATATTCACAGTAGTTAACTTTTCAGGGAATGGGAGCCTGAGAAAATTTCACTTTCAAAATTTCCACGGTTTTATGTTTACATTTTATGTAACCAAATGATACTTCAGTAATCAATAAAGTCTGTTTAACAAAATAAAGTGAACATTACAATAATTGTGGAATCTCAGACAAATAGACTAGCATGGAATAGGGCAAGGTAGCTGACAAGTATGGAGCCAGGGGGTCCATTTTGTTTTTGTTGTTGATAATGATTTATCACTTTTATTTTATTTATTAAATAATCATTTTATTAGGGGCTCATACAACTCATCACAATCCGTACATACATCATTTGTGTCCAGCACATTAGTATGTTTGTTGATTTCATCATTCTCACAGCACCCGCTTTCCACTTGAGCCCTTGGTGTCAGCTCGTTTTTCCCCTTCCCTCCCAGGTACCCCCTTCCCCTGAACCCTTGATACTTTATAAATTATTGTTATTTTATTATATCTTACTCCATCCAACATCTCCCTCACCCACTTCTCCGCTGTC